GTTTACTATCATCAAGAAGATAAAAGATTTTACACAATCACACATTTCTTGATGGTCCTAGCTTTTGGCCTCAATGAAAAAAAAATATTGAATTGATTTGCCCGATAATGCATGACCCATGCTTGCGCACGCAAATATCTGATTACATGTATTATATTTCTTTTTTGTCAAGAGCACTTCTAAAAATAGAGAGGGTGATCGATACTACTAAATGGAAGATAGAAAACAGATGGAAAGTGAAGACTGTGGGTATCTTTATTTCTAAGTTTTTGCTAACTATTATCACTTCTTATTGTTCTTCTCATTGGATCCCCGTTAAGGATCTAGGGGGTTGCTCAATTTTTGTGGGCTATAATAAGACTTTTTCCTTACATCACATGCTTTCTCCTGGGATTAGACCAAATTATATACACTTTATCAATCATTTGAGCGACATGTTGCTGGAGTATGTTGATCGGGATGCATGGCTTTTTTATCTTCATAGTAAACAATTTCAATATTTCCTTGACTCGTATTCATAACCTAATTTGCCCCTTGAATTTGGTTTAAACTATCACTTTCATAAATTGTATATCTTAATCTTTGTTAAGCATTGTGGGCTTCAAAAATTCGGCCCCGGCCTCCGCTCGCTTTTCTTTTTTATTCGGCGAGGGAGTTTTAACTGAATAAGTTTCGAGGTAAATTTTGGAAGGCAGATGGGTTTGTAGATAAGACACTACCCAGAGATTTCGCCCTCATTTTGCGAGGACTTTATGATCTGAGTTCTGGTTTCCTATAGGCGCAAGCCCCTATAGTTAAATACCCCTCCCAATCATGAGAGAGAACTTTCGATTAAGGCTTACCGTCAATCAGATACGTATAGAGATACTTGGTATCTGGCATATAGTAGCAGCAATAGGTTTGGAATTTGGAGAACTGGATTTGGATTTGAGATTTGAGTTACCACTCGGTTCAGAGGGCCCCGGGTCATAACCGTTTACCTGCAGTGCCATTTGGCGGCGAAACTGCCGGTTAGAGGACACGTACCACGTCCTTACTGGCAGGAGATTATTTGATAATAAATCCTAGTAATATTTTCGACTAGGCATTTAACTCTCTGTGAGCTGAAGTAGTTTTTGATTTGTCTACCCCGGCAAACTGTTGCGGAGGGTGGATGGATTTTGCTTTAAGTTATTGATGATTACATTTTAATTTTAAATATATTAGATTTTTGGGATTTTGGTATTTTTGTGGAGTTTTGGATTTTGATAGGCATTTGGATATTTTGGAGATATTTGAAAATGTTTGGGAACCCCTCCGATTGAGATTTGCATTCAACACGACCATCATCGAGGTGTTCGTGGTTATTTCTCTTTTGTTGATTGAATATTGTCAACTCTATCGAATTATTGATAGAGGATCGAATTTCGTAGGCTTTATGCCCTTGATAGTGAATTCTCATTGTTATAGGCATTAAAGGCCTAATATGAATGTATTAAGATAAATATAACGGTCGCCACAACCGTATATTTATTTGTTGGCTCGAACCCTATCGACTTCTATCAACCCGTATAGAAGGATCGGTTTCGAACTTGAATTGACTCGTCAACCCGCGCAGCATCCCCAAACATTACGTGTGAACCAATAACACGCTCGCCGGGGCCCATGCTGGTTTGGGGGCATTTTATAATTAAACCCTGTCGACTCCTTTTTACATACTAAGGAGGATCGGGTTTAAAATTTGATAACCCACGCAGCATCTCTAGACGTCACGTGTATACCAATAACACGCTTGCCGGGGCCCATGCAAGTTTGGGGGCATTTTATAATTAAACCATGTCGACTCCTTTTTACATGCTAAGGAGGATCGGGTTTAAAATTTGATAACCCGCGCAGCATCCCTAGACGTCACGTGTGTACCAATAACATGCTCGCCGGGGCCCATGCGGGTTTTATAATTTCTTTTACCCCTTTTAGTGTACCTATGTGTATACAAACTATAGTGCATGTGGGGGTACTTTGAAAGTATTTGTATACGCCTTCTGTTCACTTGCGTAGAAGTTGCGGATCCGGTGGCGTGGCGTAGCAGCTTCTGAATAGAGTTGTTCGCTGCTTCGTACAGGTAGACTGTCGTGCACTACTCATTACTTTCTACAGGTGGAATATAGTACACTAACGAGTCTCCTGCCTTGGGTTGTAGAAGCTCGTAGGAACTTGTAGTCTTTATACATTCTGCTATGATTTTGGTCTTTACGATACAGCCACTACTGCTGGAGGTAGATGTATTCATCATTAAACTGAAGTTGACTACATGATACTGTAGTCTGTATGCATCTACACAGTGGTGGCATGTGACATGTACACCTGTCTTTGTGGAGAGCTAATATGTGTTGCAGATCTTGCATATTTATCTGTAAATGCTCATTATACATTTATTCTTCAAGAATAAGTTCTCACTTTTGCACGGATATCACATGTATTTGTTGTCTTTTGCATGTCATGGATATTCTACTTGCTTGCTGGCATTAGATTAAAAATCTAGAACATCATCATTCAAGATTTTATATTTTTGAACTTGTTGTGCAATCATAGACCTAAGGGTCCCAAGTCCTTGTATTCATGGCTTTATAATCAAACTATCATTCTCATGATCTTCTTATCACTTACAAATAGGTTAATTGCAAGTTTGTTGTCTTCAAATATGATTCGCAAAGATAACTTGCAATCTATATGATGGATTTGATATTCATCCATCTCTTCATCCCAATTAAGATGATCAACACAAATGGCTTATTATTGTTCAAATAAATTACCAACCATTGGAACTTTGTAGAGATCATTCAAATTAAGCATCTTATTGATCACTCATTTATGTTCATGATCAAGTTATATTCATGCTCAACTTGGTTCCTTTGTGCACATGTCAAATTCAAATATGAGCTCATTTTAATTTCATTTGCAAGTCCAGTGCGTATGCACTATGTCACATTCAGGTCCAAGTTCTACTTGATTTTGAATCAAATGAGATTCAAAGTGCAAGTCCAAGTTTAAGTAAAAAAAAAAAAAAAGGTTCAATCAAGTCCAATGAAAAATCCTTTATGATTGTCCAAATTTTGCTCATTTATTTGAATTTGAACTCTTTTGTAGTCAATTTGGAAGTCCTCTTATGTTCAAGAGTCCACCAATTTGGTATGCAAGCTCAATTAATGTCCAAATTTAGCTTCAATTAAGTCTTCATTTCAATTTTATTTTAATTAAGTTCAAAATTAATCATTTGTATTTTGTCAACAAGTTCAAGTCCGAATTCAAGTCCAAGTCCAAGTGCAAGTCCAAGTTCAAGTCTCAGTCTAAGTTCAAGTTCAATTCAGGCTTAAGATGAGCCTCTTCCTTTCATTCGAGTCCCATGTAGTCCTTGCAAGTGCAATATAATGTACAAATTGTTCAAATTATGATTTGAGTTTGAGTTCACTTAAGTCCAAATATAGCATTATGTTCATCCGAAATTTCGGCAGCCTTCCGGCGTCTCCCCTGTTTAGGGGAAAATTACGGAAAACTGGGCCTTTCCCACCACGCTAAGAAAAGCGTGTATGGTAGGTGCCCCTTTTGAGCACACCGCAGCCGTGTATTTTTCGATCCCCCACCACGCTAAGAAAAGCGTGTATGGGCATTTTAAAAAAAATTTGCAAGAAAGTATCTTTTTTTTTTTAATATTTTGCAAGAAAAATAGTTATTTCCCCGCAAGCGAGTACTTATGGGCATCCCCGCTTCGTCGTACGCACCGCACCGGGCTCCCTTCCCACCACGCTAAGAAAAGCGTGTATAGGCGGGGTTTCCAAGGCGATATGAACATCAAAGAGGAATTTTGGGTAATTGCTCGCTTCGTCGCACGCGTCGCAAAGCATTTCCTCCCACCACGCTAAGAAAATCGTGTATAGGTGGTCGTTTTGTTGCGCCGCATGCGTCGAAAAGAGTTCTCTAAAACTTGAAAAAAAAAATTCTTTCTTTTTTTTAAACAAATCTCTCTCCTTTTTTTTTGCATCTTCTCTTTTTTTTCTCTCTTTTTTTTTTTTTTTTTTTTTTTTTTTTTTTTAAAAAAAAAAAACATAAATGAATATATACATGTGTAACATATAACATAAATAATCCCCCCCTTTTTTATGAAAAAAAAAAAAAACATAAATGAATATATACATGTGTAACATATAACATAAATAATATAACACATATATAACATTATCTACAAACTAATAAAGGCATATATATAAGTAAGGTTAACACATATATCAATAATTACTATAATATGAATAGTAAACAGAATCTTCTCTTTTTTTTTAACATATATACATGACCTTATATATAACTAAAAGACTTAACCGAATGTATATATAATTAACGGCATTAACTAATGCTAATTAATTAAATGGGATGATAGCTAGTAACTAACGCTAAGACTTAATGAAATAAAACATGACCAATAATAAAAAAAAAAAAAGCAAACCACTTTACTGTTTGGGCTTAGGCTGAGAGGGATTAGGGATTTATTAGGTTTATAATCTAACTAAAAAGACAAGCAATGAGAATAATTAATGTGAAGAAAAAAGACAAAACAACAAGACAAGAAAAGTTTTTTTTTTTTGGAAAAATTTGGGCAACGCCCGTATATTAATATACCAAAAAAGAGAGGCTTAAAAAAAGGAGCCTAGGCTGAAAAAACCAAAATACAATTTCAATAGCACAAAAGGAACAAACTGATGTAAACGCTAAACCCAAAACAAAATTGAAAAATAAAGGGCTTGGGGCTCAGAAAAACAGGAACATGCTCAGGGCAACAATATCCATCAGGTGAAAGCTCAGATGCCCAATAGAAACCGATCCAACCAGAAGAAAGTTACCCCAGTTGCCAAGAATCAGCAGCCCAAGACGGTAAAGCAGGGTGCAGAATTGTCGTGCCAGACCAGATTGCGAAACTGCGAGAGCAGCAAACATTGGCCGTCCAGCGGGTAATGAGCGGGAACCACTCATCATTGCCCCGTAATGCCCAATGAATCCACATTTCCATTAAAACAAGTAGGGAACGTAGCACGGAGCGCCTCAGAGGATTTCCAATTATAAACTTTGAGAGAAATAGCCCAAGTGATCTTTTTAAGCATCTCAGGAAGAGTCATATTTGTGCCCGAGAATCTCCTATCATTTCTTTCTCTCCACAAGAAGTAAATGACACAACAAACTACAAAATAACAAAAATTCTTCTCCACCGCATTAAAGATGCTAATTTCATCCATAAATTCAAAAAGCTGCAAAAGTGAAGGTCTAAGAAGAAAACAATTGAGTATCGGCAACAACCCAGCGAGCACATCAAAAGAGAAGTCACAGAGGAAGAATAAATGAGAAGAGCATTCCAGTTCCCGTAAACAAATAGGGCACATGGGATCAATGTAGATATGCCTCTTAGCTAAGACATCAGCTGTCTTAAGCCCATTTTTAATCAAGAGCCAAGAGTAGGAGGAAAACCTTAGAGCAGCCCTTTTATGCCATATATATTTAGCCCAAGAAACTTCCGGTATCCCCTTATAGAAATTAAGCCTAAAAGCTTTGAAAAAAGAAGTCTTATTGTTAATCCTTGATTTCCAAGAAAGAGGCGTTGTATTATCATCAGTAAGAGGAATACCAGAGATCAAATCCTGAACATCTCTAGGAATAAAATCAGGTAAGCACCAAACCCCACCTTGTAAATAAAACCTGAAGCTATCGGGCCAACCCAACAGTGGAGGAAAAAAGTCAGCAACACATTTTCCCCCAAGCCAAGGATCCCAAAAAAATGATAAATTGCAGTTAGAGGAAGAAACTGAAAGTTGGCAATCATCTAATCAATCCAGCAATGCCAATTATGAACTTCCAGAATTTGGAAGTTTTAGCTGAGGAGGATTTCCAAGGGCAAGTATACTTGACTCTATACCAGTCAAAAACCAGAGCAGAAAAATTATACATTCTCCAAATAAAAGAACATCTGAAACCATGATAAAGGGACTGGATACTAGAGATCCCAAGACCTCTAAAACAAGTTGGAAGGTAGGTATTCTTCCAAGCAACCAAATGCAGTTTCTTTCCAACAGTGGTCCCATGATAAAGAAATCTAGCACAGAGCCTATCAATCAATTTGATGCAGGTTTTAGGTATTATAGATCCTCTAATCCAGTAAGCCAATGTGTTTGCAATAGTAAATCTCAAGAATTTAATACGACCTGCAAAAGAAAGAAATTTTACTTTCCAACCATCAAGTAGAGAGGAAATCCTGCTCAGGAGTGGTTGGAAGTGAGAAGAATTGAGTTTTTTAGTGGAAATTGGGAGCCCCAGGTATTTGAAAGAGTGTTCAGAGAGCTTAAAACCCAAGATATGGGCAATATCATTTGCCAGAGAAGTATTGGTGGAGAAGAGGATAGAACATTTTGCATTGTTGGTGTGCAGGCCAGAAGCATAAGCAAAATCCATCAAAAATTTATGAAACTCCCAAGCATTCTGAGTAGAAGCCTCCCCGAAAACAAGCACATCATCTGCGTACAAAAGGTGATTAAGAGAGAAGGGTCCACAAGGAAAACAATTAAGGTTCCTGACGTCAAGGGAGCAAGAAAAGGCGTCCATGACTATTGCAAAAAGAAGAGGGGACAAAGGACAGCCTTGTCTCAAACTAGCCGAAGAAGTAAAAAATCCCTCCAGAGCACCATTAACACAAACAGAGAAAGGAACCTCATTCACACAGCTTTTTATCCAGGATAAAAACTTATCCGGAAAACCCTTCACCTTTAATCTGTAAAACAGGAATTCCCAGGACACAGAATCGAAAGCTTTCCGTATGTCCAACTTAGCACAAAAAAACTTTTTGTTGGGGACAGCATTAAAACAATTCAAGACCTCATTAGCCAAGATAATGTTATCAGTTGAAATCCTCTTAGAAATGAAACCATCTTGACTCTTGTGAATGATAAAAGGCATAACACTTTTCAGGCGATTAGCAAGAATCTTAGCAATAATTTTGTAAAAAATATTGCAGAGAGAAATCGGTCAGTAATCAGAGATGTTGGATGCATTTTGGTGCTTGGGAATAAGAGAAATAGCTGTAGCCTTAGCACATCTGGGAAGGTGCCCCACATTGAAAAAGTTTTTACAGCATTAGTAACATACAACCCAATAACCTCCCAAGAAGTCTTGAAAAATTCGAAAGTGAAGCCGTCCGGACCCGAAGAGGAGGAAGTGGGGCCAGAAAAAACCACTTGTTTGATCTCCAAATCAGTGACATATGCAATTACAGATCCCAAAAGATGTGTAGGAATAGAATTCCCAATAGCAGCAAAGTATTGATGATAACGAGAAGATGAGGGCACAGGGTTGTAAAGATTCTTAAAGTGTGTCACAATAGCTCTAGCAATATCAGACGGAGTGGAAAAATGACCTTCCTCAGTAGAGACAAGAAAAGTAGAGCTAATACTTTCCCTGTTGATGTCCACGTGAATAAGGCTGGAGGCTTTCTCTCTTTTTTTTTTTTTTTTTTTTTTTTTTTTTTTTTTTTCAACTATAAAGCTATCAATTCTTCCACCTCATGATTTTAAACATATGATGTTTCTAGATTTCAAAATTGCATATAACTTATACCACCAATTAGATGGAACAAAACAATTACAAAACACCTTTTCCCAAAACTCATAAAGCCATATAATAGGGACGAAAATAACATTTTTTATTGAAACTATGAAAATCTCCACATTTTATCACACTTCAAAATAGAAAGTATGTTGGAATTCAAAAGGTTATTTTACTGTCATGGACTTCACTAGCCTTTGTATACATATATATATATATATATATATATACTCAAAGTAATGGTAAGGTCAAAATAAAGTTATAATTATCTGATCACTTGAAGTGATATCAACACGGCACCTCGTTAGAATTATTTGGATTTGCGTGATTCCGTGGTTCGTGTGCGTATCTCCTCGAAATGTGTGTAATCACCTTTTTTAGCATGTCAAATTTGTCGAACATGAAAAATAGACAAATGGGTAGTTCATTTAAGGTATTAACGATTTTCCGATCGCAATGGCGTAGTCCATTTTGCGTTCGGACATCGTTTGGGTGGAGAAGAGGCTTAATTCCCTCGAAATGCTCGTTGTCTCCATTTGCGCGCAAAAGATCATTCAAACAAATTGGCAGCGTATTCATAGTATTGATGGTGTTTCGGAGACCCAATGACGTAGTCTATTTTGTGATCGGACATCGTTTGATCATCGTCGAGGCTAATTCCCCCTTGTAATGCGTGCATTCACATCATATTTAAATCTCCTTTGACATTTGCGACACCACCTCAAGCGATCAAATTTAATCAAATAAAATATATATTTCTAATGTCGACGACGTTCCGGATATAATGGAGCTATCCGTTCATCAATTGGAGGTCATTTGAGCATCGTCGAGGCCTCGCTTCTTTCATAGCGCATACATTTACATCATATTTGAGCCGCCCTTTGAAATTTTTTCAACACTTCAGGCGATCCAAATTTATTAAATAAAATGTGTATTCTCAATGTCGGGGATGTTCCGAGCGTAATGACGTTGTCCGTTCATCAATCGGATGTCATCTGGGCATTTTCGAGGCCTCATTTCTGTCGTAGCACTGGCCTTTATATTATATTTGCATTGCCTAGAAATTCACCACCATCTCGGATGATCCAAATTTATTAAATAAAATGTATATCTTGAATGTCAACGACGTTCCGGAAACCATGGCGCTGTCCGTTTGAGTATCGTCGAGGCCTCGTTTTTCTCGTAGCGCATGCCTTTGGATCATATGCGGATCACCCCTTTAAAATTTGCGACGCCACCTCTAACGATCCAATTTAATCAATTAAAATATATATTCCTAATGTCGACGATGTTTCGGACGCAATGGAGTTGTCCGTTTGTCAATCGAACTTTGTTTGAGCATCGTCGAGGCCTTTGCAGCCAATGTAGATCCAAGAAGATTTTTTAACTATTTTTCCATCTATGGATCTTAATCCTCTATAATCATTAGGATTCTCTTCATCAGCAAATACATGAGAGTCAAGGAGTTGCAAACATTGATCTTCTTCGAGGTCCACTAATTTAATTATTTTTTCATTCTTTTTAATTACCTTTGCAAATATCAGTGCAACTGAGTTCGTTCGAGTTGTTACCAAAATTTTACTTTCCAAACTCCCATAAGTCAAAGGGACGAGGACCTCCCATTTACTTTTATCCTTCTTCTCATCATCCTCCCAAATGTCATCTAGCATAAGTAAGGACTTTTTGGACATGATTTCAGCCTGAAGACTATCTTGAAGTGCCTCAAGTATCTCCAAATGAGGCATCTCTTTCTTAAGAGATTCCAACATATCTGTAATGACTTTTCCACATCAAAGTTGTTGGCAACACAAACCCACATTTATGATCAAATTCCTTTGTCATTTCATCTTCATAAATATGCAAGAGAGTTGTTTTTTTTTTTGGTCCATACCACCACGGTTCACTATAGGTAGTAGAGAAATGTTTCCATACCAACTTGTCCAAGGCTCATTCGATGGCTTCATCAACCATTCCACAACAAAATCCAACGCAATCCACATTCAAACTGAATTCTATTTATCAAATTTAAGATTCATGGGTTTTGTTGTAGGGGTCAACAAGCATGTAATATGAATATTTTTTAATTATAAGTCTATTTTTAATATTATGGTTTGTGTTGCTAAGGAGAATCATCAATGTGAGATCGAACGATCCCATAATTTTTTTGCAATCTTTGTGTTGGATGAAATAATAAAGTAGTAAGCTCAAAGACATGTTATTTTAAAAAAAAAATGAAAGCCCAAAAAAAGTTTTTTTTTCCCCCCCCCCCCCCCCCCCCCCTAAAAAAAGTAAAAAAAATCTTTATTTTTTGATTTTTAGGTAATTTGTCCATTTCTATCTATTTTTTAGTCTTTATTATAAGGGTTTTTAGATTATTGCCCCCTCTAAAAGATTTAAAATACTATGGTCTTTAGGTAATTGCCCCATCATAATTAAACACATTGAGTAGAGGTGTTATTTTTAGGGAACGATGAACCTAAAGAAATACTATGGTCTTTAGGAAATTCCATGCACCCCCTAAAAGTTTTAAAATACTATGGTCTTTAGGCAATTGTCCGACAAAGGCGCTACCCCTTGACCCCGTGACTGTTCTGGCAGGGTAAACCGTGCCAGGGGGCGCTGCCCCATGGGACCCCCGACATATCTGCAAAGTGTACGATGATCAAGGATATGAACAAATAGTGGTCGAGCCAAATTTAAGGCAACTTCAACATACAATTTATAGAAATTGAATGATTAATCTTCTTTAGCGACCATTTTCTTTTTGTCTCTATTTTTTTGTCGTTATTGACCCATTTTATTGTAGTGAAGGGTCGAGACAAATTAGAGGCAACACCAACAGTTACTTATAAATTTGTTGGGTCCTCCCCTATGCTTGATCCTCTTGGGATTTTTATAAAGCATCCAACATACCAATCATGAATGCCTCCTTCATCTTTGTCCCTAAGATTAATAGAGAGCCTAACAGAGAAAAAGCTGTCTAGACTCTAACAGCGAGAAGGAAGGAAGGGGAAGGGTGGAAAAGACAAATGAGATTTCTTTTCCACTCTTTTTTATTACTTTCAAACAAAGGCAAATGCATGCACCATACATGCATTTTTTTACTTTAATATTTTGTCTATCAATTAATTGGCGATGATGAACTACTTACCTTATTTTTTTTATTTCAGTATTGCTTCCATCAATGAGATCTCTTTTAATAAGAATAAATGAATGATTTCCATATTGCTAAAATAAGAAAATTTCATGTACATGATATATAGGTTTTATTATATGAACTAAATTGATCTGAAATTTTATTAATTTATAATATTATTATAAAAAAACTATTTCTAACCCAATGAAAGAGCCATTAAGACACCAAATTCATTTTGTAAAATGAAATAATATAACTATTGTAAATAAATACCTTTGTTTGTGGTAACACATATAATATATGTTTTCTCATCTTCCACTCATTTATATATTTAAGAATAATCATTTCGAGACCTTTTAAAATAATGCCAAATTTTGACACAAATAGTCTCGTTTGATCTCTTAATAAACTGCATGCAATAAAAGATAATTTTTTATTTAAAAATAAAAAATAAATTTTAAATAATAAATTTATTTTTTACTACATGAATCTTGCACCGTATTCTTTTTATGGATCATGCTAGTTGGCCAATTTCATTAGCCACAAATGAGAAGAAAAATTAACGCACTTGAATATTTTCCATAAATACTTATTCTATTTAACATATTTATATCTGTAACAAAGATTGCATATTTGATTCCAACTCTTATTCATTTCTGTCTGAGCGTGGTAGTGTTGGAAGGTACCGTAGCTCCTTTCCTCTATTGGTCACCGCAAAAACAATAATATTATGGCATGGTCTGATCTCCCCATAGATCTCCTACGTTGCATCTCATCGCACTTGTCCATTTTAGACTTAGTCCGATTATCAGTTGTATGCACCTCATGGAGTTTCACCCTTAACAACTATGCACTCCTTGGATTTCAATGTCGTCCCTCCCCATGGTTGCTCCTTTCCAATGATGTCGGAGAGGCCTCCGACGCACTTACCTTCCATGAACTTACCATAGAAGGAGAAGAAGTTGTCATCAGCTTCCATCATCGCTTCTCCTCCATCGGTAGCCACACCTATGGCCGCCGCTTTTTTGGCTCTAAGGATGGATGGCTTGTGACCCTTGACAAAACAGATCTACAACCTCGCCTCTTCAACCCTGTCACAAAGGCTGAAATATCGCTCCCATCCCTTTTCACCTTGATCGAGTCACAATATGCCCCTAACAGCTCCATCAGGCGTTCTTTTAATGAAATTTTGTTTGACTTTACTATTGATGACTTCTTTGATATATATTTTCATAAGATCATTGTCTCCTCTAATGACTCCTCTGGAACTGCTGTTGTTATCTTTGGCATTAGAAAAGTGCTTGCTTTGGCAAGGTTAGAAGATCTAACTTGGGTTCTCGGGCCAAAATTATCTCCTTACAACACGGAGGATGAGGAGGAGTTTGAGGATGTTTGCTATCATGAAGAAAACCAAAGATTTTACGCAATCACAAATTTTTCTATGGTACTTGCTTTTGACCTCAATGGAGAAAATGTTGAATTGATCTGCCCGAATATGCCCAACTCATACTATCGCACCAGAAACTTCAATTGTATGTACTATATTGCCTTTTTGTCAGGAACTCTTCTAAGAATAGAGAGGGTGATTGATATTACTCTTGATAGTCACCATAATGCGAGAACGATAGCTATCTTTGTTTTCAAGTTTGTGCCAGCTGTTGTTACTTCTTCTTCTTCTTCATACTCTCAATGGATCCCCGTCAACGAGCTGCGGGAATACTCCCTTTTTGTGGGTTGTAATCAGACATTTTCTTTGCATCACACAGTTGCTACTGGAATTAAACCAAACTGCATATATTTCGCCGATTATTCAAGCAACATGTTTCCTGGTTATGTTGATTGTGATGTTGGACTTTTTGATGTTTACAATGATCGCATTCAATATATCCTTCACCCTCATTCACGGACTAATTGGCATCCATCAATATGGTTTACACCGTCAATTTCATAAATTGAATATCTCAATCATTGCTTATAAGCATGTAATATGAATGTTTTTGGATTATAAGTCTATTTTTAAGATTAATTGGACAATTTATTAGGTTATATTGTGCAGTTTTTTTATTTAAATATGTACTTACCTCGTTTATATTTGTTTTGAAGAAAAGATATTAATAATGTTAGATCCCATAAAAAATAAAAACTACCTGAAATGGAAAAAAAATAAAGTTTATATGAAAAGAATGAGAAAATGCTCCCAAAATTTCTTGAAATTTTTTTAGAAAAAGTTTTGTGTGAGGAAATACATAAACCAATCTTTGTAAGGCAATATTAATATATTTTAGCCCAATTATTATTTTAATAGCAATCAAGGATTTCAATGAAAAAAGATTTATCCTTGTCATTTTCAACTCCTTTGCATAAAGCATATGGATATTTTGCATGCAAATAAAGAAAATTTACAATACAAAAAATTTAGCTAGTCACTATTGTCTCAGTTAATGTAGATTTAAATTGAAAAAATTCATGATGATTTCATGTTCAAAGAAATGGTTCTATTACTCAAGGATATATATATACCGTTTCGAGAAGAAGCTCTTCTTCTCATTGTTATAGGGAACTATAGAATCTTTCAAATGTAGAAAAATAGAAGAAATATTTCTTAATTTAAATACTTTGGTTGAGCATTCATTACAACTAAATAATTAATATCTATGATTTCAGTAACAATTATATTGGACCAAATCATCTAAATGATTCTCTGTAATTTTATCTGCCTACCATAACCACTAAAGCGTATTTATCTAGGTGGGCATGTAGTCCCTCATGCTAAGCAACGTTGCAATTCTAGCCAAGAGTTTGCCAGCATCTAGTGACCTAGTAGAATCAAGGGCGATTCTAACCTAAAGCATAGTTATCTACAGGTAGAGAATCGCTCAAGATCTTTATAATTTGAAAAAGACAACTTATATGGTTTAGATGAATCTCTCATAAGTGTCTTAGTTTTATGCATCATCTCCCATGTCATTTTTTATGTGGAAGCTATAGGTCAACTAGGGTGTCAATTTCGGGTCACGGGTCGGATTCGGGTCGAACCCGGAACTAACCAGGGTTCAATCGGGTCGATCCTAACCCGACCCGGATAGGAAAACGGGTCGAAATCCTGGACCCGAACCCGACCCGCTTCGGGTTCGGGTAAACCTGACACGACCCGCAATTCGCAGCGTGACGCGACTTCGCACTTCGCGGGATGGCGGCAGCGGCGCGCGTTCGCGACTTCGCACTTCGCAGCGTGAGGCGGTGCGGCGGGCAACGGAAGCGGCGCGTCAGGCCGGCGGCATTCGGGTTAACCCGAACCTGAAATTTTCAGGTCGGGTCCGGGTCGGATTTTCGTGTCGTGTCAAATATTGACAGCCCTAAGGTCAACTTCACTTTTTGTAGAACCTAACCATAAGCTATATCAAAATTTTAAGATTATGGAGCTCTCTATATTAAATTGTTGCTTAAATTCTACCAGAAACTGCTACTCTGGATAACAAATGGAGTAATAAATCATTCCTATAAGACAAAATGAAACAGGAAAGAAAATTGTAACATCACTATGGTGGGGCGAAAAATAAACTTTTCAAGGGAGTATGAATCGCTCCAATGACATTTAATAAGTACTATTGAATCTGAACACTCTCCAAACAT